ATATACTAATTAGTATTTACTAAATGCTAATCCCCTCAACAATTCTGTAGTACTATCATCATTCCTCATTTTACAGATAAGAAAATGGAGGCCCAGAAAGGGTAAGTCACTCATCCAAAGTCACACGGGTATTAGATGGTAGAGACTGAAGGTAAACCTGACTCCAAAAATCAGGTGCTTAACTTACATTGTACTACTACTCACAGTTTTAGGAAGAAAAAGTAGAAGTTAAAGAGGTCTTACATAACAGCCAAGCAACAGTGGGATAGCAAAAGAACCACCTGGATGAGTCAAAGGGAAATACGGAATCAGAAGAGAAAGGGTGAGCACAACTCTATGTGAATTTTTAACTGTTTACCATATGCAAGACACTGATAGTGCTGACAAGAATAGGAAGGAAAATTTGTGGTAGGAATCTGTCTTTAACTTTGGATTCTTGGATTTCAGGTTGGAAAAAACTCTGGTCTCAGCAAATGTGTTGTTCATACATGATGGGGATGCTTCTGAGCCACCTCAGTATGCTGGGTTCTAAATTATCATACCCAGCATAATAATGGTGGCTCTTCTTTGTAAAATTTTAATATTCCAATTTCCAAACTTGAGAAGCTGTTAGGTATAAATGATTCTCCTTTACTGGTTGGTTCCTTTAAGTAACAGCCCCGAGAGGGCATTAAAGTGCTGTTTACAAATCATAACTACTTGAGACGGTAGAGTAAATTTATTAGGAGTCACAGGCAACTAAAGATCTAACAATTCTATGTATTAAAATATTCTTTACAAACACCTTTACAAGAATATTATATTGGGTAACACACTGGATTCAAATGATACCCTTCTGATAAAACAAAAAGTATGCATTTGTTATCTTGCCAGCAAGGGATCCAGACAATGAACAGATTTCTCTCTGTTACAAGTTAAAAGTCTAAAGGAATTTAGAACAAAGTAATAGGGAAACTAGTATCTAAACAGAATCAAATATGAAAAAGAGAACTAATCAATATCTGTGGAGAAATCTAAACAAGATAGGATCTTACGGCCCTGACTCCTGTTCAAAGACTGCCACTAAAAGAGTAGTGCTCCAAAGTGAATCGAGAGATACTAGTGATGTGGAGAAGATAAGAAATATCAATCTACCAAATCTCTTCTCAGTGAATCCAAGAAGTAATGGTGTAATGCTAGAAAACTGCAACAAGAATTAGCCATAACATAACCCTGATGAGAAGAGAACCATCCTGGATTCCACCCAAAAGGTTAACATCTAAGGAGTACTCACTGGGGCTCTACTTAGTATTCTTCCTAAGTCTCAGCTGACCCTTTTAACGAATCGGTGCAATATACGCTTTATTCCAATAAAGAATATCCTACAAGCGAAAGTAGTTTCTTTTGTGTTTTTTCTCCTTTCCCCTCTTGGGCTGGTGGTAAACGTCTGACTACATAGAGCCTAGGTCCAATGCCTAATGTGTAACTCCAGAGAGTCCCTCCAGATGTTCAGAAGTGCAGAGAATAGCAAATTTTCCCACAGGCCTTCCAGAGAAACATGTCTATCTTGGGAAGCTTGAACAACAAGCTGGAGATTTGGGTTTACTCTATGAAAAAAAAAAATCAACTTGACACAACGTCAATTTCCAAAGGCCCAAGGACAGCTATCACATCTCCAACACAAAGTAGCAGAAAAAGAAGGATAAATACCCAGTGATCATGGGAAACTAGCTGACTTATTTAGGTGGACTGATAACTGCCAACATTAAACATGGATCCTCTTTAGTTGTAGTACAATGTATACTACCCTTCCAACTCAAGGACTCCTTTTCTCACCCAAATGTTCCTGGCAATACCACCTGAAACCACCAGTGACAGCCGTGAACAAGCATTACCACAAGAATCACACTATAGCTATTCATACTGTCCCATGAAAATTTCCCTTAGAATTTAGTGTCGGCACAAGTTGTCTCCCTGAGGAATTGGTATGTATTATTTCCTATGTCTGCTAATGAGACTATAACTGTGATTCCCTTTATCCTCTGGCTCCCAGGAAGCTTAGAGTTGCATATGATGACCAGCCTCATCAATTATCTTAGCCCTCAGAGTTAACAATACTTTTTTCCTTCTTTCTACAGTTTTGACTTCCTATCCACATTGTATGTGTCCTGTGTTATAAGCCATCTCAAATGCTCATTAAAAAGAGAGAGTTTAAGTATACTAATAGACTTCTTTTTAAAAACCACTTTTGCTATCTTAGCTCCCAATATGCCAGGTGCCTATTCCAAACAAAAAGCACTTACTTGGCAGATGAGGAAACTGAGGCATAGAAGCTCACTTGCTTAAGGTGGTACCCATTTAGATGGCTTCTTGACAACCATATCAAGCCTTGAATCAAACCAACAAATCCTATTACCTACATAGCACTGTGGTAGACCCTGGGGTATACAAAACTGAATAAGTTATGGTTATAGTTGAAGATTCCCAACATCTCTGCTTCTAATTGATGGACATCACGCTTCCCCAAACATAGTGAATAAAATTTCACTAGTTACAATGGAATCTGATCTAAGGACTATCCAAGTCACCCTGACTGGCACCAGAAATGTCCTCATTTCCTGAAGGGCATTAGGGCTTGGAATGATCCAAGGATTCCTTGGTCTAGAACCACACTGGAATCCTCACAGGTGAAGGACCGCACCATTTAAAGAGGCCTTTTTCTCACACCATTCAGTACAGGCCAAGCTACATTTTTCCTCTTACTTTTTTCATGCTTTCTCACAGTATCAGTACATGGCAGAGGTACAAAAGTGACTTGAAACACAATGTCCAATTCAGCTGAAGTTCTGAAAAAACAGATCACCTAGGACTTGCTATGTGACCTTGACTAGTCCTCAACCAACTCATTAACTAAATAAATGCCTTTTATCATCACCAGGGAAAGGGTAATTAGTCATCATAAAGCCCTTTAATACAAAGTGCTGCGTAAATGCTAAACAATAAAGCTCAGAAGGAGCAGATTAATAAGAAACCCGGCGGTACATTTACCAGCAAATGGAAACTTACAACAGGGTCTTCCCACATTCCTGGCAAAAACTGCTTCTTTCAGCTAATGGGATATGAGTCTCTAAAATCATTCGCACTTGGCCTGACAATCGTACACATTAGCAATATTCCTCCTGGGAAGAAAAGATGAAAAGGGATACTTATTCCTGGTAGGCAGTCATACAGACAAATTACTAGTTAGCCAGGTGGGCAATTAATATTTCACTACCTACTGTATGCCAGGTACAGAGTTAGGCAGAGTGGATACAATGGTGAACACGAGTCCCTGCCTTTACTGAGTTTACAATCTACAATACAACCTGTGTCTTACTAATAGTGGCACTTCCAAGAATAAAGCCTTACTAAAATAGAGGCAAGTAAGAATAAAGACACCTAATTCTTGAAGCAACTAGACAAAAGAGGACAGGCTAATGGGGAGAGGATGAGTTCAGGGAATTAGGGTACCAGGGCTTTCCCATTCTTCCCCCTAACTCATCACAGGTACTACCCTTAAGCCTTCTGCTTATAAAGGCTGAGACTGTATCTCCAAATAATGCAGGTTACAAAGGGTTACTGCCCCAACAAAGCAGTCAGCTGAACTGATAGCACTAAAAATAAGGTTAATCAGACTTCTTAGAACCAAGGGATCTTCTATAACCTTTTTTTAGGCATTCTATTGGTAAGATCTTAATTTTGTGGCAAAACAGAGCTAAAGCACACGATGGTGACCTGTCTTTTCAATTCTGCACTTGATTTCTGGAGTAGTAGATTAATTTTCAAAAAAAAAAAAGTCATCTCTCCCACTTATGACAGCATAACGAGCTCAGGTGCAGGAGCCTCCAAGACTGTAACTATTCCTGCAAACCCTGCTTTGTTCAGCTTATAGAAGCACTGCATCCCATCAAACACTGCAGGCAGAGAGAGACAGCCTTGAAACACTCTGTCTTTATATAGGAGGGAAATATTTATCCAGGTTCTCACTGGTTTCAGAAAGGTCACGTCTCTGCAAAGGTTCTCTGGTCTATTGTTAACTGGATGCCAGGTATGTCACAAGTCAAGATGTGGTTGGCAACAAATGCTCAGAAAGCACTAGAAATCCCAATTCCACCACTCTGAGAACTAGTTAGACTAAAACCTCCAAAGGCTGCCATTTATTTTTCCACAAGAGAATTAGAAGGGCGTCCTTTGAGCTCAACCTCCAGCACAACAGACTAAACTTGTTCTGCCTCAGTAAGTGCAGTAAAGAATGAGCCATCGTTCCTTACCACCCACCCCTCCAACCCACCCAAGCTCCTTTCTCAGGGGATGCCTAAGTGATCTATGCACATGACTACGATCAACCTGTATCCATGACAATGTCTGCTGTCACCAACCTCCAAATGTTAATTTCTTACATATGTCGAAGCAACTGGACGACCGTAAAAGGTGAAAATCAGTTTTCTTTTGAATCGCATGTTGTCCTCATTGCTTTCACCTGCATAAAAGACCCAGCTCCACGCATTTTTTCCCCTCCTGCTCCAAGCTAGCACGCAGTTGTTGGATAAACCGGCCACCGCTTCCAAAGATTTGCCCGAAGCAGCTCTACCCGATTTACACACTCACCCGAGGGGAGATTTTCTGAACACCTCCATCCCATGGGGCTGGTCACAGAGATCCACTGAGTTGGTTCACCCCCTCCCACTCCCGTCTTGGAGACCTTTCATCCAGGAAAAGTCAGCCGCAAATTTAAGGCCCAGCCCTGTCGGGTTTCGAAAAGATCCCGAGGGCCGAGGGACAAAGGAAAGTGAGGTCAGGGGCGGCCTTTCCAGCTCGGGATAGGTCTGGGGCCGCTCACCCGCCCCTCACACCACCTCGGCCGTCCCGGGGCACCTCGAACCTTGCCCCGAAGTCCCGAACTAGCTGGAGCCCCGGGCTCGCTCGCGCCCCTTCCGCGAGGCCCCAGCCTGCGCCTCCGCCGCCACCCAGAGCCCCCGCACCTTCTTGGGCGCCTTGGTGACGGTGGCCATGAAGGAGTACTTCTCGGCGTCCTCGATCTCCTTGGCCTGCTTCAGCTCCTCCCCGACCCCGGGCAGCGGCATCGCGTCAGGCATCGACATCCCCCGGCCGGCCGGGCCCGCGGCTGACCCGCCGCCCCCGCCTCTTTCCCTCTCGGGCGCCCGCTCGCCCGCCCGCGCGGCTCCCTCCGACACGCGCTCGCCCACCCTCCCGCCGGGCCCCGCGCCGAGCTGCGTCCGGGGCTGAGGAGCTGTGACCCGTGCCGCGTCCGCACCGCAGTCCAAGACAGCCAGACAGCAACGGCAGCGACGAGAGCACCAGAAGCAGCAGCGCGGAGCTCTGACCGGTCCGCGCCACCACCTCCGCCGCACGCAAACACGCACGCAAACTAAGGGTAGAGGAAGGTGACGCCACGTCAAGTACTGGCAGCTCCGGGGAAGAGGAAGAGGCGGGGAGAAACGGCGCTCTGTCATGACGTCACCACGCTGGACTGGGCCGCCGAAGCCACCCCTTCTTCCAGCTCGCTGGTACTGAAGCTCCCAGCGTGAGCCTGACCCTTTGCGCCGCCAGGTGGCGCCATCAGCCCTGTGAGAGGCGCGTGGTTCATGCAAGGGTGCCGCGTAATTGTGGGGGGCGTTTGGGACTGCGGGGTTTCGGGCAAGACCTCGGAAGAGCGTGAGGGGGATGCTTGGGAGCAAAGTCCAGAGTCCCACACGACACATCCTACAGCCAGTCCTAGGTGACATTCGGGGCCCAAGACAGCCCACTCACTGCCCCCACCCCAGGCCCTTTGGACCAGAAGCCCCTTCCCAAGGGGCAGTGTTTGCCTCTTTGACTTAAGGGTGGCCAGAACAGATTCCAAGCTGTGTGGTTTCTGCGCGACCCTTTGTGACCTCCTTCACCACCGTCTCCGCTGGGCCTTGCCTGTTTACAAGACCTTCAGGCCGCAGAGCTGATGTTGTCGGCCATGAGGATAGGGATAATGGGTCAGAGGGTGGAGAGCATGAGGGGCGGGGGTGGAGGAGCCTGAATGGCTTTCCTGCTCCATGCACCCCGCCCCTTAAGCACGAGACTCTGCCAGCTCCCAGTGCGGCAACCAGGGCGTTCATGGACCATGTACATGCTGTTACTGGGCCGTACTACGTACTGTTCCTGTGCTAGACCCTGGATAGTAAAGATGAGTGTGATACGTTTTATGTTTTGCAAGGCTTTGTCCACCCGAAGACTCAAACCGTATTTGCAACCTAATGTCAGCTGAGGTAGCTTGTCCTTTGAGATTCGAACGACGTTGGCTCCAACTCCCATTTCCTGTGGAAAGTCCAATGCCCTCCCCAGGATTTCTGTGAATTACTGGGGGGACTTAGATTTTCATGGTTACCTCTGGCTCTAATTTTCTGCCTCATCTGAAGTTTTGTTCGCTATTCTGGTTTTGTAGCTGTTTCTTTAGTTCCTGCTGTCAATTCAAATATGGAACATAGCCCCTTCTCCTTTTAACCCCCACCTCTATTCCAAAACAACCACAAAAATAATGCCGTAACATGTAGCAGAACTTTTAATGAAGGTTTGTGGGCCACAGGGGAGAGATTACATCACACAGCAAACAATTTAAAGTCATATTTCTAAAATGTTCTGAAAAGTTATTTTGGCTATCTCGTCACCCAGGATTTCTCACTGGCCGCACCACCCCACAAAGATCCCTAGCCCATTGCCATCTAATCTAGCTTCCTCTTCTTATTCCCTTCCCATCCCTCCACCTCATCCTCCCCTCCTTGAGTGACTCTGGGAAGCCAGATTTTTCTCTACAGTGCTGACTATTCAAGTCTTCCCACTGCCCTTTTCCTAAATTTCTCCCCAGGCCACCTTTTTATATCCAGAAACCTACCAGGTCTCTGACAGGGTCAACTCTTTCAAGAAAGAAGTTGTGGTTTGAAGTGATATTTTCCCCACTGGTTTATGTTCAAAGTTGGGAAGTATGTGAAATACTTGCCTGTGGGGCTCCAGAAGTCTTAGACAGAGAAGCCCATGTTCCAGCCCCATGAGGCCATCTGTTTGATGCAGGCTGTGGAAGTGCCTGGTAGGATGCACACTTCTGCAGATCCTGGTCTTTAACTGTCAGGATTCTCTCATCTGCCCACTCTTTCAAGCCCCTCAACTTCCCTCTCAGGGGTATTCCTGTAGCATAAGGGACAGAGAGATGGGGAACCAGAATGGTGGATTCATCTGTAAGGGTCCCAGACTGGCACCTTTGTCCTCATCTCCCAGCCGGGGCCCAGAGCTATACCTGCCCACCCAGGACTCTTTGGACATATGGCCTGAAGTAGCTTTCATCCTATGGGTTTGCCTGAACTATTGTCAGAGTCCAGGGATCAGAGCTGCCTGCTCAGAGAACAGAGGCAGAACGAGTTGGAACAGAGGTGAAAACTCCACATCCCTTGAATAGGAAAACATGTGACTTAGGATAGCCTATTTAAAAATAAGGAAGCAGGGTGTGTTTGTCTTTTGGATTTGATTTTTAAAACTTCCATTGTCTGAGAGCTTTGTCTCTCAGAGACATGCTGTGAATGTTAGTATTCAGATTATGAGATTCCTAGAGACTGAAGTTCAGCCTCTCTTTTACTCCTGAACAAAAGTAACAGGTTTTCCCTATCACCAGGTTCACAGGATTGGCTGTTGCTGCTGTTGGGGGTGGTGAAGACAGGGCCAGGCCTAGAGGAAGCAGTACCTTCACAGTTTGAGCCAAGAAGGAGACCAGAAGGTGTGACTCCACTTACGTGAGTGCCTGGCCCAAGGTGGGTTTGGGGAGGCTGACCTAGGGGAGTCGGGGTGCTTAGACTGGAAGGATGGAGGGGCAGTGCTCCCTGCCCTGGTGGAAAGGCAGCAGGCCTATGTGGTTCATGTCAGGCCACAGCCCAAGGGCATTCCTGGAAACCAGCTTGCTGCAGAGGACATGAGTGGCTGCCCTTGCTCCCATTGTGTGTGGCTGGAGATCAAAGAGCTCACTCAGCCAGAAAGTGTGATGACATAACATCAGTGAGAACCATTGCACGCTGCCCCCACCACTCCTAGATGGCTGCACATGGACCAGCTAAGGTGTTGCCTCTCATGGATGCCAAGAAATGACCTGTCTTCAGCCCACCCACCCACCTACGAGACGCAGTGCCTCTGAGCTTAGTCAGGTGGATGAGTCGGGGCTCACTCCCCTGAACAGCACAATCCACACACAGATGAGAGAAGCCACCAGGGGCCAGTGTTTGAGAAGAGCGGGGACCCAAGGACAGATGCACCTATTGTGTGTGGTCAGGGGAAGTCTCCGAAGGGCTTAGAGACCAGAGGGGACCCTGCTCTAGAAAGGGTACCACACATGGGCTTGATCTTATTAATCAAATTCACTCTTCTGTCCACCCTAAAATTTACCCTCCAAATTCAGTCTTTTTTTTTTTTATTCATAAAATATACATTGAATGCTGAAGAAGGAGCAGTGTTGGATGTTGGGACAACAGAGAGGAATGAAGTACTGATGTCTACGTGGGGACAGATGGTGGAGGGTAAGGTGGGTGGGATGGTGGATGGGGATGAGCAGGAAAGGCTTCATAGAGGAAGATGCTGCTCTACCTGACTCTTGACAGTTAAGCAGCTGGACGAGGTAAGGAAGGGATTCCAGGCTGAAGGAATAGCCTGGCAGGGCAATGAGAGAACTTGGCATGTTATGGGAACTGTAAACATTTCAGTGTGAGTGGGACACAGGGTACAAAGTAGAGAAGAGTGAGAGCTGAAGCTGGAGCCAGATGTGGGTGGATGGTGGTGACATGTACCGAGATGGGGAACACGGGAGGAGAGGCAGGTCTGGGTGGAGGGGCTGCTGAGATAAGGAGTCAGCTTAAGACATGTTGAGGTTGATATGTCTGTGGAGTGTGCTGCCCTATGTCCAGGGGAGCCTAAGTTGGAGCCTTTCACACCATCTGCTCCCTGCCAGTCTGGTACCCCCAGCACCCTGCAGCAAGGCTGTGCTCTCCTGTAGGCCAGGCCCCACTTTAGTCCCCCAAAATGAATGGTGCAGAAAAATTGCAGGAGATCTTGGGTGACAATAGAAGTATGGAAACAGGTGAACAGCTCAGTGGCTCTGTGTCCAGCAGACCCCCTCCCATTATCTTTCTGTCCCAGAACCGCCATGTTGCACAACTCTGGAAGGCACCATTGACATTGTAATTGATGTGAAATGTGCCCTTGGAGCACGAGTCCAGATTGCTGGTCTGCCCTGCTGGCCCTGAGGGACTCCCCAAGGGGAAGGCTCCCAGCTGCACCTCTGCGGCTCTGGTGCTGGCTCCCCAGGCATGCCTGGCTCCTACTTCCCACTGAGCTCCTTCATTCCCCACTTCCAGCCTCCTTCCCTCCCCTGTATTCAATTCCAGCCCTTTTGAGAAGATAGGCGGTCCCCCAGGGCCTAGAAAGACTCCTCCTCCTTCTCTGCCTCCTCCTGTGCTTATTATGATCCTATTTATTATGCATTTTACTGTTTATTATTGTTTTGAACATAATCTTTATAGGAAAGAAAAACCCGTGAAGATAAAAATCTCTTTAATCTAAGTTCACTTCAGGTTCTTATCAATTTGCAGAAACTCACTTTTACATACCTGTGATCAGTAGGTATATGTCATTTTGTGTTCCAGTTTGATCAAATCATAGTGTTTTGAAAGCACGTGTACCACATGTGGACATTGTTTACGTACTTGTCCTTGTCACTGTTTCCCAAGGGTTCCATCCTATTGCCATAGGAGTTTGCTTACCCATTTTCCTATTGTTGGGCATGAGTTGTTTCCAACTTAGTGCAGTATAAACAGAGTGTGTCAGGATAGGAGTCAGAGTGGGAATGGCTTTCAAGCAAAACAGACAAGGGTGGGTCACAGCACTAGGTCCTGCCAGAGAGAAGGAGCAAAAATGTTAGCAGTGGGGCCAATTGTCCTGGCTGTAAGCAGGGCCAGGGGGACGGCACCTTTCTGCTGTAAGGGGGTGTGAGGTCCACTGCCCGGAACTCGTGATGGCTGACTCATGGGGAGGCTGTGTGGTGTGGAGGGAAGCCGGGCATCTGGGCAGACGGAGATGTGGCCTCAAGTCTTGACTCTGCTACCAACTTGGCTGCTGGAACCCTGGGTCTTTCTGGGCTTCTGTTCCCTCATGCAAAACAGGGTGATAGCTCTTCAGCTGGGGCTTGTGATGATCCAATCCAACAAAATAATAAATAAAAAAGAGCTTTGAACAAGTTACAAGTATTGTGCAAATGTGAGTTACTAAGATGTGGATCCAGGCTGAAAATCTGGAGGGGAAGGGAGTGATTGTGGAGAATGTGAAATTCTCTCTGTGCCCTGCTTCCCAGAAAAACAAGAGGGAGCAGAAACCTGCTTGCCACAGGAAAAGATTGTCATTGCTTGTACTGAGTGCTTGTTTACGTGGGGATTGTACTTCCTG